AAGCATACACTCACGTACGTTTGTATGCAGACATACACGACAACGTACATATGTATGAATGAATTGTCGTTATGCTTGTATAGTTAGCTGCCTGATTCCCTGACTACGAGTCTACGTACGCCACTTGATACCCGTGCTTGAGCACCGAGGTTGCAGGCTGCTGTTCTCTTGTTGACTGTCAATGATTTTATTGATTAATTGGCAGGGGTACCGTGTCATTGTTGATGTGGTGGGTGGCTTTAAATTCAGCCGTTGTCAGTGCCATTTTGAAGAGGCTCACGTCCGCGTCTGTGCTCAAGTGGCCATCTGTGAATGAATGCATACAGATTTGTGGATGTCGGCATATAATGTAGCATCGTAACCCTGATCTACTGCCCTTTTTTGCATTAAAGCATTATTCGTCCATTGGCATTTTTTTTGTCCATCGTATTCTATAATGTTCTCTACTTTTGTTTTTATTTTCGGTATTCATCGATATTTATGAGTATTTTGACATTGAAATTCACAGTGCATAGAAACGGGCTTTACTTATTTATAAGTACGTATTATAAGGCTGTAATGTTTTGCTGATGCTTACATATGAACATTCATACATATGTATGGGTATTAAAATGAAATTTTTTCACGAAAAACAAAAAGATGTTACGTATATTTTTTATCGATATTAATAAAAAAAATTCTTGAGAATAATTAATTGCAAAAGCAAAAAAAGCACTTGAATTGTAAATTTTATTGCGGCTTATTAATATTTATTTCAGTAGCGTTAAAGCTGTGTTATGTGTGTTGGTTTCCCCAACTCAACTTAACTAAGTTTAGTCATTTTTTGGACTTAAGTCAAAAGTTAGCCTACTTTTTATTGAGCTTATTCTTGACCAAGTCCAAAAAATTGGCTAAACCAAGTTAAGTTGAGTTGGAGAAACCAGCCCCCAGACTTGACTTGACTTTCCTAGAAACTTACCTTTTCTCTTTGCTTTGATTCTCAGCAATTGCATTTGTATTTACGCTTAAAAATCAAAATTAACAAAATTTTTTTACATTTTAAGTAAGTGCAGCCATACAAATTTTTATATTCAATTTTTCTGTCAAACGCACGCATACGTATACACATGTTATGGGGATACGCCTTAATTCTTGCATAACTGAGCTTTTATTGAGCTTTGTACCACGATAGTTTATTAGAAGAAATAGAAAAAGCAACAAAGTGTAAGCGGTAGAAGTTATAGCTGCTATTTCGAAGATCACCACATCTTTTCATCAGACTTCTTTTACCAGACTTTAGCAGGATAGAACTCGAAAGTTCAATAACACTTGAATTGACTCCACATAGCTTTTTAGAGCTTTCACATTAAAAGTACACAATAATTTCCTAAATAAAAAGGAGCATCCGTTTCTCTATATTTTAAGCAGTATTTACATTGCACAATAAACACACCGTAGGGACCTAAAATTACACAAATAAACGCCGTAGATTACGGATCTGTATACCATTTTTCTAGATTAGGTTATTTTCCATACATATTTTCCATTTAAGTTTAAAATATTGAAGCTTTTACATGGGAAATGTTACTCATACGCCAGGTACAATTATGTACGAGTCAGGGAAATGCAACTATTCGTGTTTTTAAGTCATTGGTTAAATAACACAAAAAATAGTATTAGTGGATATTAATAATTAATAATTAATTAATTGAATAATATTCACGCATATGTACTAATATTCTTTTACGCACGTCACGCAAAGCGAGAATGTGTACAATAGGGTGGTCCAAAAATTCATGAGAAAGAAGTAAAGTAGGAATTTTTTGACCTACCCCCTATACCGAAAAAAGTATACCCCTATTTTTTTATTTTGAAATCAAAAAATATATAGAGGTCGCTCAAAGCGCCTAAATTTGTAAAGTATTTTATATAGGGAAAAAAACAATTTTTCGTAGAAAAGGTATGGAATAGTTAAAAAATCAATAATTTTCTACCAGAAAACTCTGCTTATCTGCAGGAGATTTCAAGTAATAATACCCAATTGTTTATTTAACCATTCTTTCATTGCAACTATAGTTTATAGGTCCGCCAAAAACCCACAAAAACCCCGAAAAATGCAATGGGGCGACCAATAAAAAATCGTTGGTATTAAAAAATTGTTAAATAGACAATTGGGAATTATTATTGAAAGTCTCCTGAAGAGAACCAGAGTTTTCCGAACGAAAAATATTGACTTTCAAGAATTCTATACCATTTCTACGAAAAAATTTATTTTACTTATATAAAAAAAAACATGAAAAACTTTAAACGCTTTGAGCGACCTCTAAATATTTTTTTTATTTCAAAATAAAAAAAAATAGGGGTATACTTTTTTCGATACAAAACAATCCTAGGGGTGAGAGCATTACAATTCCGACTTTACTGTTTTTGGACCACCCTAGTGTACAATGACTAAGAGCATGGTTACCCACGAACGTGTACGTAGCGCAGCGTAGAAGTACGTAGAAACATATTAAGTTTGCTGTTAATAGATAGAGAGAGAAGCAATGTCTACGTCACGATCATGCGGTGGTGAGTTTTTGTTATACACGCAGATCCCATAAGATAGATCGTGTCAGCTGACAAGTTCTCCATTTTTGCGTCCGTGGGTAACTTTAAGTTAAGTATATTTTGCGTGTGCAATTTTTTTGGTGGGAGTTTTTCATAGTATTTTTGTAATTAGTATGAGTACATATTTGCACCAATTGTTACGGATCATGGATAAGTACACCAATTTTATTAGTACTCAAACAGGTCTCTGCTACGAGTATGGTCATAAACGATATGTCGTATGAGTAACGTTATTTCCTGCTTCTATTCATACAAAAATTATTTTACATTTTCAAACGGTATATGTAAGTAACCATAATATACAACCCAATATTAAGTTTACGTACTTCGGAGAATTCCAAATGAGAAACCCGAAATTGATTATATTCGAATCAATTACGTGACATAAATTACATGTGCTATCTTACTGCATTAGAAATCGTGCCGAGATTTTTCCTGTTTAATGTTCGTGTTATTTTTTTAGATTCTAAGTACTCCAAGCCCCACAAGGCATTGCTAGAAGCTTTGTAAAAAGTATTTGTTTCTCTGATGGACGAACTTCTTACACACGCACAGTGGTCGAAGAGGCCATATTTTAAGCGAAAAATTAGAAGGACTCTTACAATTTTAATAAAACTGTGTTGTTGTTGTCACTCAAAATTCGAATATGCCATAAAATTTATAGTTTGACAGTTGAGAGCTGTGAAATCATTTATCAGTTTCTAAACAAATAAGAAAATCCGTTTGAACATGCTACTGATTAGTTGTTTAACCACGCCAGGATAAATTGTCTATGAAATTAAAATGTTGACAAGAGACAGCTATCTAATGGATTGTAAATTTTCCTAAAACTTTTAAAGTAGTTGAAATCAAATGCAAATTCGTATAAAGTCCACAGTTCATTTCAAAGAAGAAAATCAAATCTTCAAATAGTTGTGGTGGGTAAAAAACTAGTTGAATATTAATATTTAAACTAATTTCTTTTTGTACTGAGCACATACTCATAATATACATACATACGTGTGTAAATATATCTAGCTTACCTTTTCATATTTTTATGCTGCATGGTATTAATATCTTTACATCTCTGTGGTGTGTCTTAACAGAGAGAAATATATATATATTTTATTTTTCTGTTTTTACTGATGGAGTTGGGAAATTTTGCGATGAAATGTAATTATTTAACTTTAGATCCACTCATTTAAGTATTGGTTTGTTGCACACATACGTTTTATAACAACGGCATCGAATGGTACCATAGAATATTTTTACAGCCGAAATTATTATATGTATTAGCTTGAATGCATTTATATTAATGTACATACATATTTTGTTATAAATTAAATTTTAGTTATTTTTTGTTTATTATTCCGTTTACGGTTTTTATTGCTAAGTACATCATGTTATACATAGTTATGCCTGTATTTTATACATTTATGCAAATTGTAATTTCTCCATGTACACCCAATTTATTTTGACATTTTAAATAGTTTTAATTCACATACACATATACATATACATACACATATTTTATTATTTGCGCGAAAGTGTTTATTATTCATAGTTTGTGAAATGTCGTTTGTTTTTATTTACATAGAAAACAATGTTTTTGCATTCGTTTAATCTTCCTTTGCATTATTTATGTCGTATTTACTATTATTGACATTGTCAGTGTAATTATATTTGTTTAGTAATTTGTTACATTTAACTTTTTCATTATTATTTTTTTTTTTGTAAATATTTTATTCGTAATTGCTTATTTAATTTCCCATCTTCAGTTTTATCTTGATTAATTTTTAGGGTCGGCTTCACTTTTTTTTAATAATTTAGGTTAGTTTTGCCTTATTTTGTTTTACTATATAATATTATATGCATGTTTGTGTTTGTTGTAGATATTCAATCAGGTTTACATATATTTTTGGTAGACTTTTGTTGTTTTAAATTCGCTACATTTTCATTGACTTATTCAAGTACATATATTTTACATTGACAACATACAATTAAATACATATAAGTATATGTAAATAGAAATATGTATATTAGGTATATATGCTTAGTATATTTTTAAAACTCATTTAGATGTAGATATATATGCATATATGTTGATTTGTCGGGGGACAATTGATGAGGGTTTTGTTTAGTTGATATTCATATTTGAACAACATTTTATCTTCTTTTCGAAACGGCTATAAAAATAAGAGTTTTGTTTAGATATTTTTTAGAGCAACTGCATAGTTTTTTCGCCTTTTTCGACACTCCTCAATTCTTATTCCTTGCTCTAGTTATGCTTCCTCTTTTTCATGTTCAGCTCTCCTTTTTTAAATGTTTAAATTAATATTTTAAATCTACTGGTACCTTTCCAATACTCCTTTTGACTTTGTATTATATGCATTTAATTACTTTCCAGTTTATAACACAATTGTAGTAGAAAAACTACAATAACGCATAAAATCAGCTAAAATGTAAATGACTGCGTTACGTATACGACATGTTGTATCAGTCAACTCATTAAAGGCAAGTATTTGTTTGTTTGTACTTGAAAAACACTGAACCAACTAACTAGTAGTTAATTTTTCAACTGGAAACTGTTTACTAACTTGCTTTTAGTACAATGTATGTATGTGTGCATGTATTTCCGCAATTATACTTGCTTGAGTTTGGTTAACTATTTAGTATGTGATGATTTTGTTATTTTTCTATTTATTTATTTATTTTTTGTTGAGAATTTGGTTTATTTTATTAGTTATCATTTACAATTATTGCATTTTTTAAAACTTATAAAAATTATTATAAAATGTTTCTAGCATTTTTGTACACAACTGGCCTGCTTTTTTATGGCTGTTTGTTTGGTTATTGAGTTTCAGAATTGATCTGCTTTGAACTTTTATTGAAAACCTAAAAATTGCTTCCGTTAACGACCGAATGTTTAATAACTTTCTCCCAATGAAAATAAAAGCTGGCATAAGGATTGGCGTTTCGATTGAAAATGTCGTACTAACTGCTTATTGCAGGATGAGAGTGGGAATTCTATGTTGAAAATTGTTGTCTAGTTTGCGTTTGATTTGCATGTAAACAATTTAATCAAGTGGAATTTCATCTATGAAGATTCAGTTGAACATGTACATATGTATGTGTGCATTTCTTTTATTAAATGAAGTACTTTTTGTTTGTCTGTCAGATTTCGAAAGTTGAATTGTCTTTGAGTTTCCACTCACGCTATCGCTATTGCGGCATATTCTTCTTTTTATCACTCAGTTCTTCTTCATTTTTTTTTTGCGTTTTTTGCGTTTGTAGCAGACGCTGCCCAATTCGATGCACTGCAATTCGGCCTCGGTTGACTGCGCACTCATTTGAACATTGCACATTTTCCACGATCTTAAGCTGTTAGTTTCATTCGTATGCGCAACTCTTTGCCGTTCATTAATTTCGGAGAAATGCAATGTTTATGCTTGTCACTTGAAGGCTTGCTGTTTTCCTTCTACTTCTGACAGCGAAAGTTTTTGTGAAAGTTGGTGCGGCAATTTCGATTTTAGAGATGCGATGCTGCAGCGTTTTATTTTGTATATAAAAATGCAACATTTATATATGCGCATATATAAATAATTTAGATCAAACGCTTTTCAACTGTCGTCTTTCTTGTTTAAAAATTTACTTGTTCTTTAAAACCCGAAAATTGTAACAATTTTTATCAAAACACTACAACCACTTAATACCTTTTATTTCACTACTACATATACATACTACATATATTTGATAATCAATGATTTTTGTATAAAATTTGTTGTTTTTTTTTGGTTTTTGCAACTAGTGATTGACTTTCCAATGAGTATTTTTTCTGCACTGAATTTTCCCGATTTTTTTTTTTGGATTAATATTTTCTAATTTCAAATATGTTTATTCATAAATTTCGTATGTCTCTGTAATTCCTCATCACAGCCACTTTTTTGTTCTGACGATGGATCCAATGGTGCACATATGGAGCGCATGTAGCAAACGATTGCTTGTTGTGATGATGTTGCTAGCAACATTGTTGCAGATTGGGCATGGCGTTTAGTTTGTATTTGATGTTTTTGCATATTAGTTTGATATTGTTGATGATGATGATGATGATGATGCTGAGAGTGTTGTTGCTGTTGTTGCTTACGGCTCTGTCTGACAAATGGGGGCATCAATGGCACTCGTCGGTCATCGATGGTGATTCTTTTTGATACATTTTGCAATGTGGCTGCGCGCTCGATTGCTGTGGTCAATAATTGCATTTGGATATTCGGTAACAACTAACAATTCGTCGAGGGCCTTTGTTATCCATCTGGGAAATTTCCGGGTCCCAGTTGAAGTTTATCTCACTTGGGCTCACCCATCGTCTGACCAACGACTATGATGATCACAATGAAGACGGCCAGCAGGACCAGTATGCAACAAATGGCGACTGCAACCATGGCGCTGTTACTCATAAAACTGTTGCGCAATAGAAGAATTATTGAAGTTCGAGAATAATGTGGCGTGCGGACGCTAAAATGCTTGAAGAGCTCTCACGAAATGCTACAAGTTTCACACAAGGTTTATACTCAACAATTTAATGGAGTTGAGGGTTTTAGTTTTAATTTAATTTGACGTTTTTAGCTGGACTTTAGTAACGTGTGTGGGTGGGAAATAATTTACTTGCTTTTATTGCGTTACAATTGCGCGATATATAGCCTTATGTTTTGCTTTTGTTGTCAGCGTGTGTACGTTTGTAATTGGCTAGGTGCTTTATTTTTAGCAGCTGCTATGTGGAGAATGCGTGTGTTGAGCTGTTACTGAATTATAAATAGATTTATAATGTTTTTCTTTTTATGCAGGTGTACGCAACAGTCGGTAATGGTGCTAAGCGAATTTCATTTGGTTGTTGTTGTTTTAGCTTTGATTAGTTTGCTTTGTTGTGGCATTATTTTTTTTAGCACTGGTTGGTTTAAAATGTTGGTGTTTGTTTATGCTGTATTATTCTTCTGTGCACTTTAAGAAAATTTTCCGTTGTTTGCTCCACATCAATTAACTTTTATTTATTTTGCTGTGATTTTCGTTAGTCACGCAAACAAGTTAGAATTATTATATCTGAGTTGCGTTTTGCCAAAAATATTCAAGTGGTATGCGAAAAGCTAAATCGCTCCACTCTCTTTGTAGAATTGTGACAGAATTCATATGAGACTACTTGACCACAGGCAATAAGTACATTTCGCAAAGCATTTATTTTACGATTGAAATAGATTTTGGACTTCCAGAATCCGGAACTTTTTTAAGCATCTAATCAACAAATACCCGCATTTTGCCTTTGCTTAATTTTTTGGCATTTTTTTTTTTGTTTTGACAGACAATCAATACGAATAATGAAACGAGATCGAGTGCGCACACAGACTGTGCACGCGATTTTGGTAGAGAATGTGTTCGTAACATAATAGGTAATTTTTCAGCAAAATATATATATATATATATTTCATGAACCAATGATCGGATCTAAACCAGATTAGTCTGGGACCACCTCTGAGATACTACCTTTCCGATGTAGAGAATTATCGAAATCGGTCGGCCAAAGTTGTGCAGTAACATACATAAAAATATTGCGACGAACTGATAACCTCCCCCTTTTTTGGAGGTCGTTTAAAAACAACAATTAACATTGCACTAGTAAGCCTGCATGGCGTTAAAACGCCGAAATTTAATTTAACTTAAAAAAAAAAATATTGTTAATGATTCATCTAAACCATTTCTGATTGACGCATTTTGTCGGGTTTCATACCATCAAATTAAAAATCTACCTGTATCTCCATAAAGTTTTAACTTCGAAAAATAAAACGTTATTGCACATCTATTAAGAATCCGAGTTCTTCAAATTGACTTCTCATTTTGGAAATTCGAAATAACGTTGCAGATGTGATGACCTTCAAAAAAATAGATGGCAACCCTAAATAAAAACATCATCAGCCTAAAGTTTTCTTAAAGCTCTTTCATTTGACACTCATATTTCGATATTTCATTTCTGTCGCTTGTGTACAAATAAAACAAATTCGACTTGTCAAACAGGTGACAACCCCTTTAAAAGTATTTTCAAACTAAAATCTTTTTATAGTCTGACGTTGTTATACATATTTCTATTAACTAATGAATTAAGTTGAATTTGATTTTTTTTTTTTAAATTTTTTTCGAACCAAAATTTACTTAAATATTTTTGGTATGACATTGTTATAAATATTTCAAGTAACTGATGAATTAAGTTGAAATTTATTTTTTAAACACGTGGCAACCCTCCTAAATATAATTCTGTAATAAAGGACTTTAAACCCATTTCCATTGATACCCATCGCTTAGTAATTCATTTAATTTATTAAATAATTTTAGTTTAACCTTTTAAACTGGGGCTACCCTCAAACACATCAAAAATATTCTAAATTGTCAAACTAAGTATTTCTTGAAGCTCTTTCATTTGACATCCATCCTTAATATTTCACATAAATTGAGCACAAAATAATTTAATTCGACTTGTCAAATAGGTGGCAATCTTATTCAAAATATTTCCAAACTACTACCTTCTTAAACCTATTTTGTCTGACACCCATATCGAGCCCTAACCGCCAAAATAACGTAAGCGACATTTTTTTCAAAATTTTCTTTTTGATGCAGAAATGCATCTAAATGCTCTAGGAATATTTCTGCATCAAAAAGAAAAATTTTAAAAAATGTCGCTTACGTTATTTTGGCGGTTAGGGCTCGATATAGTGATACCTTATTTACTTACCAAAGTCTTTTAATTAAAATTGAATAACATTTTTTTATACATGTGGCAACCCTTCTACACGTAGTTAAGATATAAAGCCTTTTCAAACCCATTTCGGTTGATACCCATATTGTAAAAATTGATTTAACTTATTAAATAATTTGATTTCTTAATTGGGGACAACTCTTTTGAAAAAGTAAAACCTTATTGAACATCCGCACCTTAAGTTAAGGATTAAAAAACATACATACGCTGAGATTAGGTTATAAACATTGCGCCATCTGTTTCTCAAAAGTTCTGTCCTGTGAGAGAAGGAGACAAAAAGTAAGTATTTTAACCACATTATTCTTCCAGGTGTGACTTATTTTCTTAACAATCATTAGCACGAATGTCTATCAAATGCCGAAGCAAATATTTACTCAGCTTTCATCAATAATTCAACACTTCAACCGCCATTAAATAACCTAAGTCGGGATATTAAGCGCAATTTGTCAAAAACGTTATAAACAAAAAAAAAAAATACATGCATGGCCTGACACATTTTCGAGGCGGAAACGTGTGGCTGCGTTTGAAGTTGAACGCGCCAGAAGTACACTCAAAAAGACGGTGAAATATGGTCAAACCAACTACGACGTCACTTGCGTTGTTTTTTGTCTACTTAAGTCAGCTTTTGCGGCAACACCCACTAATCCAGCACGCACGTGGCTCATACCATAGCCAAGCGCAGATAAATATATAACATTGCCTTCACACTCACATTATCTTGTCGACCACATTAAGTGTCATACGCACTGTCAGCGGAAGTCAAAATGGTAATATTTATGTATGTGTGTGTGAGTGTCGTAGTGGTGCCAACATTTGTGGCTAGGCTCGGATAGTAAGCAATAAACATAGCAAAAAATGCTATTTAACCTTGGCAAGGGGACCTGTAGATGGCGGAGAGCATATCGCTAGTATGTAGTTGTGTATGAATGTGTAAACTTTGAAAAGGTAGATATGTACATATTTGCTCTAGTGATAAATGCCGGGCAATACTGTCGTAAAAATGTTTCATGGAATAGTTGATTTACTATGCCAAAGCAGTCAACTCAAGCATTAATATGTACGAATGTGTCCGTACGCAAATGTTGATAGCTGACATTTGCACAAAAAACACACTCGCTGTACATGTGCGAATTAATGTGACACTAAAATTTCTATGCGAGCGCCTCTTAGTCTGCCATTCTAATTGTTGTTTTCTGCTGCTTTACAAACTTCAGGCACATCCACAAAGCAGGCCTTCAGCCTCACAGTATGCCATAGTTATTGTATTGAGAAGCGCACAGACATGCATTTTCTCACACAAGGCCATTGAGATAAACAATCGACATGATTTGTGAAGTCAATTGCCAGTTGTGTTGTTGAGAGGGAAAACTTCATTAAGTAGCATCACAGTTAGGCTGTTAAATGAAGCGTCGATGATTTAATGGCATAAAATAATGTTGGCTGTGTGACTTCGATATTGACCTATGATATACCAAGATAGGTACAGGCGAATGTCGGCTTCATGATATCAAGGCTTACGGTGTACTTAAAGCCTTAAGAACGCATAACTCGTATGCGCGCTATTAACCTTTTGCGTGGGTAGGTTATAATGGCAAATAAAAAGTTATTAAGGCATCCGATCCCGCACCATTTTGGGAATATCGGTATTTCGAGATCTTAAATTGGTACTCCCGGGATTTTTGGAATTTTATTACCATTAATTTAAATATGCTAACAAACTAGCTTTGTAGTCTTTCTTTAGTGCAAGTACTAGAGATACAAATAAATTTTTGTTTTCAAGGAAAGATATATAAATATCGCATTCCAAAACGACGGTGTCCCACCCTCTCGTTTTTTCTCAAACTTTTAGTAAATTTTCTTTAACTTTTGTTTTGATAGGTGCCAAACTGGAGGCACTTGAATTCAGATATCAGTATATTACGAAACTGATGATGTATACAACTTAGTTATATATTTAATTTACACAGAAATTTAAAATTTTCAAAGCGTGACTGGTGGTGCAACGAAGACACCCGCTTCTCTGAGTTGTTGGATTCGTTTCCCAATTTTAGACAAACTATAAATATTTCATTCTTAGCAGCTTTTCAACCTTTGAGCACAAATAGTTCGTAAGTAAAATGAACACTGTTGGTTTGATGTGAATATTTATTATATTTTTAATAAAGGCACCTCATTTAAACAATGGGAAACTAGAGAATTTGTGTGTTTCGTTAACAAATACATATTTTGCTGTGACGAGTGGGTTATCCAATAAGCATTTTCTTAAACGCTTATAACTTCTCAGCAGTGATCGGACTTAAAAAAATTCTGTGTGGTAGAATCTGGCAAAAAATGTGGTAGATCTCAGGTTTTAGGTCAAACTTTGTACAAAAATTAAAAAAATTTGCAAGGTTTCACCTAAATTGCAAACTTTTTGATTAGACTCTAAACATTGTTTTTTTTAGTATAAGTATAATAAAGTGCAAGATTGAAGTTGCTAAAAATTGCGTTGAATTTTGGCACTTTTTTTCTTGACAGTATAAGCAATTTTTTCCGTATCAAGATATTTTTCGAACATATTCAGCTGCATTGTCACCTTAAGTATATGAGGAATGCCTTCAAAACTTAATACAAAAAGATTACAGCATGTTATATATGCATTTATAACAATAAAATAGAGA